AAATCCAATATAAAGCAGACCCACTTTCCACCGCGCTCACCCCTTCTCACGCCCCCCCCCCCCCCCCCCCTCTCTCTCTCTCTCTCCAGCTGAACAATAATAACGTCTGATTTGAGCCATTAGGTCTGAACAAGGTTGTCTAAGACCCTTTACAGTTTTAGCTAGTTTCAACTGGTGGTTCAAATTATGGCATCTTGCATATTTAAAACCTTGAGAAGGGTTCAACACCGTGTAAAATGTGTCTTCTTTATATTGGATTTTCTTTGTGTTGAAGTCACGCCACCTAAAAGAAGATGTCTTGGTCCTTGAGTTATTGGATGTTGCTCAATTGAGGCAGTAAATCAATATTGTTATTCCAACATGATTCTAAATTTACAAAAAAACTCACAGACGTCTGAGCTGTGAGCTAGAAATATGAAAGGTGCGCTGTGAAGTTTTCATGTAAACGAACAAGAGTAATGTTTCCATTCGTCGTTTCTCAGCAAAACTCATGATGTGTATTTATTGCATGTATTCTAAATTGTGCATTGTTTACGTCGATGTTAGCTTGCTAGCTTTCTTCATTGCTTTTGTTGGTGTACTGATGCACGGTAACCATCATTGCTCCATAGTGCCACTAGTGGTCAAAACTCCACATGACACCTTTAAGCATCTATTGGAGTTACAGCTAAACGCCAAAAGACATATTCAGATATTTTACTCAAGCAAAAATAAGTAAAGATAAGTAACCACGCAAGTAGTATCGTGCACTTAAAGTACTCATTATGCTGCAGAATGGCTATTACAAAGTTATATTATTACCTCTTATCATTATAGTATATATTATTGAGGCGTAAGTAGTATTTTCATGTTGTAGCTGGTGGAGATGAAGCTTTGAACTACTCTATATACTTTGTGGATAATTTAATTGATAACAAAGCATCATATTTTTTAAACCGATCACATGTTTAGTGTGATAAATCTTAATGTGAATAGTAACTAGTGACTATAGCTGTGAGATAAATGTAGTAAAAAGTAGATTTCTCTCTGAAATGAAGTAGAGTCGAAGTAAAAGTATCTAAAAATTCTACATTACAGTAGTACTTGTGCCACCACCGCAATGAGCCCAATATCTCTTAAAATTGTAGATTCTTTTGTAATTAATAGTCAAAAAAATGAAAAGTAATTTATGTATAATGCTATGAAAAGCTGCAGCCAGCAAATGTTTGAGTTATTTACTTGATAAATCACTTCAAACAACTAATTGAATATCAAAACTGTCATCAGTTACTTCCTTGTTGATTGACTAATCGTTTAATCCAACAGTTGTTTTAGCGTTTGGCAGTATTTTCATTAATATCTGTTGTCTATACCTCAAATAAAGTCTGAATTAACTATAGCTGTAACGATGAGTTTATTAATTGATTAGTCAATTGATAACAGATTCATTGATTAAGCCATTTTGTTAAGCAAAAACGATGTTTATTTGCTAGTTTTCTTTGTTTTATGGATAAAAATCTGAATATTTGGGGGGATTTGAACTGTTTGTTGAATGAAACAAAAGATTTGAAGAAATCCTGTTGGGTTTTAGGACATTCCAACTTGCATTTTTCACTGTTTTCTGATTTTATAGACTGATAGATAACTGGCAGATGAATTAGTAATGAAAACAATTGTGAGTTGCAGCCAAAAAAACAACAACTGTACAACCAAAAACCCACAGGAGCCCCCTGACCTGCTGCAGCAGCACAGCCTTCAGTTTGAAGCCAGATATTTGCACCTACTAACAAAAAAAAATTGAAATCTATTTTCCTCATAAAACACAACAAAATCTCCAGATAATATTTCCTCGTGCATGCGGTCTCATTTCCATCTCACTGTTTGCTCTTCAGATGAAAGATGTGCATCTGGTGTGACCTCACGGATTAAAATTCCTCCTCTTCTTCGGTCCGTCCATCATGAGCTTCATCACGGTGGAGATGGTCCAGTTAAAGGAGCAGCCTCCTGCTCAACAGTCACTTTAATGCCACTATTTCATATCTGCAGATGCAGGATATTGGTAGAATGACCGCTCTACTCTCTCTCTCTCTTCTCTTATCGCCCCATCTGCACTTCAAACATTTTTTTATTTATTTTGCTGCTAAATCAGAGCCAGCAGCAACACCACCTCCTCAAATCCAGCTTCCTCTGTTATACCCAGAAAGGTTTTTACAGCCCAAGGACATGAAATGAAGATGAAATCCATGTCCAAATATAGTGATACTCTTCTTTACTCACCATTCAGCCTTGTGAAATGTTCCACTGCTCTGTTTTTGTTTAATTTAGTCACATTTCCTGTTCTGTTTTTTACTCAAATGGCTCATAAACTTGATTGCATTCATTTAATACATACTAATAAATGTTTACACTTTTGAGCGCAGATTTACCTGCATGACACACACAACAGGTAGCCAGTTGACTGCAGGTAGCAGGTACTGTTAATACATTTAAATAGCAGTGTATAAAACACAGCTTCTGCTACACCTACACCTCTAATCCCACACACGGAGCAGCACCAGTGCAGAAATAAAACCCCTAAAGGTGAAGCAGGTTTTTATTATTTTTAATGTTGCAGTTTAAATGATTAAACTCATCAGACATTCAGTTAGTTTTATAATAAAAAGATTTTAGTTGAGTGTTTGAAATGAATGATTGTTTCCAGAGTGGTTAGAATAAAATGAAGAAGCTCCATACCTGTCTGCGGGCTGATCCAGTGTCTCAGAGCAGGAAGGTCTCCGTCCTCCGCTGCTTCATCACACTGATGCTGCTGCTGCTGCTGCTGATGATGATGATGATGATGATGATGGTGGTGCTGCTGATGATGATGATGATGATGATGCGGGCTGTTGTGGGCGACAGGCGGCGGGGCGCGCAAGGCTCCCGGTGAAGTTTCAGCTCATATCGAGGTGTTCAGGGGCATGCGCAGTGGAGCGGGGACCGGTGCCGCGTTCAGGCACCATCGGAAACGTTGGGATTACGAGTGGGAAGCGACCTGATTGCAGTCAGATCCTTAGTTTACTTGAATACAAAAGTGCAGAAATACTCCTGTCCTGGATTAAAATATACTTCAAATACCACAAGTAAAACTAATCATTTTGCATTATTGAGTGCGGTAAATATAGTACTACTACTATTTCGTTTTTACAACTGATACACTGTGCTTTTAATTTGAAGGAAGCTACATATATGCCTTCAGCTGTGATGCATTTGTGTGTTACGAGGCAAAATTATGCTAATTAGGTGATAACGGTCTGAATCCAAACACAAGCAATCAATAAACGTGTTGCAGCTTCAACCTTCATTGAATTCCCCGAACAAGTGCGGCTCATGAAGCTGTTATCCTAGAAGCTATGATTTACGAGGAACACATTAAGGCAGCACATAATTAGAGCAGCCGCTGATGATTTTAAATTTGCTAAAGATGTTAACAGTAAGCTGAATTTGTCAGGTAAATATCCACATTTTGTACCCTAAAACCTGAATTTAAAGGCACACCAGGATGTCATCTCTATTTATAAGCCTGTTTTATGGAATAACAATCAAGCAGTAAGAGGTTCCACCGTGTGTTAGTGTTACAGATAATGTTAATTGGCTTTTATTTTATCCAAAGAACACAGTGATAGTAAATATATACTTGTGAGCTGTGTCTCCCTCTAGTGTGCAAATATGTGTATTAACACTTCCTATGACCGTGTGTTGAAGTCATGATATAATACCCTCACGTTGAGTAATGTAACGTTACTTTTAAATCATCTCATCATCAATCAGGAGCTGGTGGAAGAGGTAATCAGATCTCCTACTTCAGTAAAAGCAGCAATACTAAGTAAGTGTAAAAATACTCTATTACAGGTAACGTAAACATCTTCAGTAAAAGTAAAAAAGTAACCGCATCAAAATATACTCAAAGTACCCAAAGTAAAACTCATGATGCAGAATGGCTCATTTCTAAATCATATCTGATGATAATTATTGATGCATTCATGTGTACATCAGTTTAATATTGTAGCTGGTAAAAGTGGGGCTGACTATCATCAGTTATATAACGTTACTCCTGTGTAGCTTAATCTATATTTCATCGTTTATTAGTTGATTTGTATTTTGTATTAATAATATAAATCTGCGAAGTAAATACTAATTCAAATGTAGTAAAAAGTACAATATTTGACTCCATAATTTAGTGGACTAGAAGTAGCAGCATTGCATGGAAATACTCAAGTAAAGTACAAGTACCTCAACATTGTACTTATGTACTAATTTACCTTCCACTTACCAAAGTATGTGTTTATTTTACACTTTCTGAGCCGAAATTTGACCAATTGTAGTAAATCAAATGAAAGTGAATAAACAGGAAGAAACATTCTGGTTAACTCCAACATAACCGTCATCATCAGCTCCAGCCACAGGTTCACACAGTATTTATTTATTTTGCATAACTTTGCAAACACAATGCGTCAGAGGAGCAGTAATCAAATGAAGCTCCAGAGATCATTAAAAGCTATTTACACAGCCAGTTTAATTCTCCCACTTTGTACAGCGATATATTATAAGACAACATACCGTTGATATCATTTTTCTTGTAGCAAATTAGGTTCTAAGCGAAATATTAATACAAAATATAGTTGCAGCAGTACACTTGCTGTGTCTGATCATAAGCGCTTTCGTTTCAACGTTGTTATTGTTTCTTTACATTTGAGCTACAGCCACAAGAATACATCTCAGTGATACATGTACATATTCATTTATCTGTCATATACGGCCCTATTCTATTCTAGCTTTTCTCTACTGTCGACTTTACGGTGAAATTATGGTAAACATATTTTGGAATGTCAGTAACATTTAACAATTTTTGCAACAGTCACATTAAATCAAATGCGCTGGTGATTATCATCAGATGAATAAGAGCACAAGTACATTGGATCAGTGTACATTAAAAACTATGAAACAACAAATATATGATAAGTTTTGATAAACAAAAGACATGGCTTACTCTAGTTCTGTGCCATAATAAGCAAGGATATTTGGTGAAGTCCTGTCATAATTTGCAGTAAGGGCACTCAGTTACAAGCTTATTAACAACTTATCAGTGAATTACATGAATCCATCTCTTTATAGGTCAACAACATGCAGCCAGAGCTTAAAGTTAACACCTGGCTGATTCTTTCCTGTGATTGGTAAGTTAAACTCTGAAACAATCTTTTTGTTTTTTAATCTCATCTCTCTGTCACATTGACTGTTAGGCTGCTAAGGCTGCATAATGAGGGATTGTATCTTTAGATATCATTTGCATACATTTATTTCACTCGTCGGCTCCATCAAAGAACCTCATTTTGTCAGAGTGCATAGAATCTCTCAGTCGCTGAATGGATGAAGCTGTCTCACCTGAGATGGGCTCAGACGAGTCAAACCTACGTGTGATTTGTTTCCTAATAACAATTGTTTCTTTGCTTTCACTTCTTTCACTTGATGTTTCCCTCACGAAATGCTTCTCGAAGACCGTTGTCTTGCCGCTTTGTGAATCCTCGATAGTCCACGATGCAGCTTCGTTAGCCTCTGATCCTTGGGGAAAGCCTCCAGCCGATTGGATTTGGACAGCAGTTAGTAGCTTGGCATGCTGTGCTTCTGGGGTCGCTTGAATATTTGATGTAATGACGTGTATTTTCCCTGATTCCAGTCTGAGCGTGTCCTCCGACGAAGATGAAACTCCGGATGACAGAATTGTGATTTTCTCAGGCAAGTTGGGCTCAACCGAGATCAGCTCAGTCTTCGTGGTGGAAGTAATAATGTTACTGTGCAGCTCTCCGAGCCCTGCAGCAGCGGTAGGATCAGAGTATTTGACAGTAACCCTGGTTGGAGAAGATAAGGAAAAGCCACCATACTCACTTGTCATCGCGGAGCTAATATCAGCAAAGGCGTCTGATGACTGCACGGAACAGGTGGGGCTTATTTCCTCATCCACTGTTTCCCCTGCTGGGCTCTTTTCATCCTTACGCTCGTCTCTTTCAGGGATCTTGGCAGGTTCCGATGGGGAGGACAGGCCAAACTTGGGGAATTTAAACCAGCCTGTTCTCTCTGGACTTTTGGTAGCATCTTGCTTTGTTTCCTTTTCCCTTGCCTGTAACTGCTCTCCACTGGGTTCATCTGTTTCATCAACTTCCTTTGAGGTTTCAAGATTTTCTGATGTTTTTGGAACATCAAATTCAACATCAATATTCTTCAGGATCTCACCAAATGATGTAAAAGTCACTTTGGGGGATTTACTCTCTTCTTTTGGCTCAACTTTCATTTCCTGTTTATCTGCTTTGCTTTCAGTGTCAACGGGGACATGTTCATCTTCAGGGTTGGATCTTGAGAAACTCAGCTTTGGCATTTTAAATGATGGTAGTTGGAATTTACTTGGAGAGCCAAGACCCACAGCGTCAGTATCAGTCTTTGGTGTTTCAGAATCTGTTATTGCTGCTTGGGATACATCTGATTTAATATCAACACTGGGACCTTTGATGTTGACAGTAACATCCTCCTTAAGTTTAGCTCCATCAGTGTCTGCATCAGGTGCTTCTACGGTGATATCGTAAGTAGCCGCTCCAAATTTCGACATCTTCAATGTTGGCATTTTAAATTTCAACGGTGATCCTCCAGCATCTTTTGACTTGGCTTCAGTCTCAGAGGCTTTGATTTCCACACTAGCTGAAGGTTCTTTGACTTCAATTTGAGGGAGTTTGACCTCTGCTTTAACTTCCGGCAACGTGATAACTGCATCTTCCTGTGATGCATTTAAATCTTCTCCAGGTCCTTTTGCTTTTGGCAGTGCAATGCCGAACTTTGGAAATTTGAACTTGCTTCCTTGCCCATCAAGTTCAGCTTCAAGCTCGGGAGCTTTGATTTGCATTTCAGATTGCTTTACTATCACTTGTCCCTCTGAAAGAGAAACATCAACACATGGAAGCTCAGCACTGACTTCAGGTTCTTTAACACTTGACTTTGAAAAAGAAAATCTGGGTAGTGAAAATTTAGTTTTTTTCAAGTTTGCATCAGGCTTTGCAGCAGGTGGCTCTTCTATTAAAATCACCCCTGAAGGTCCTTGGACTTCTGCTTTGGCCTCTGTTGGTGTAACATTAACGTTGGGTGTTTCAAGCTTGTCATCTACATCAGGGGCTTTACCACCTGTGCTTGAAAAGGACAATTTTGGAAATGTCCAATTTGGTCTTTTCATCTCGGTTTCAACCTCAACTGTTGGTGCATCTGGTGCTGAAATGACGGCTTCATGTTCTTTGACTTCAACACTGGGCAGTTTGACCTCAGCTTTGGCTTCTGGTAATGTGACATCTCCATCTTTCTTTGATAAGCTCAAATCAATTTCAGGTCCTTTTACTTTTGACATTGAGATTCCAAACTTCGGCATTTTAAATTTGCTTCCTGACACTTGAATTTCACTTTCTTTAGATTTCATATCTACAGATAGGTCTTCAGTGTCAATGCTGGGTGCAGTGACATCCACTGTAGCTCCTTCAATTTGAATGTCTTTGTCCACATCAGGTACTTCCACACTGACCTTAGGAGTAGCAGCTCCAAATTTGGGTAATGTGAATGTTGGCATTTTTAGTTTTGATGGTGATCTTTCAACATTACCAGTTTTAGCTTCAATCTCAAGAGCTTTGATATCCACTGTAGCAGACGGTTGTTTTATTTTGACATCTGGAAGTTCAACTTCTGCTTTGGCTTCTGGTAATGTGACATCTACATCTTTCTTTGATAAGCTCAAATCAATTTCAGGTCCTTTTACTTTTGGCATTGAGATGCCAAACTTCGGCATTTTAAACTTGCTTCCTGACAATTCCAGGTCACTTTCTTTAGCTTTCATATCTACAGATAGGCCTTCAGTTTCAATGCTGGCTGCAGTGACATCCACTGTAGCTCCTTTAATTTTAATGTCTTTGTCCACATCAGGTCCTTCCACGCTGACCTTTGGAGTAGCAGCTCCAAATTTGGGTAATGTGAATGTTGGCATTTTTAGTTTTGATGGTGATCCTTCAACATTACTCGTTTGAGCTTCAATGTCAGGAGCTTTGATTTCCACTGTAGCAGACGGTTGTTTTATTTTGACATCTGGAAGTTCAACTTCTGCTTTGGCTTCTGGTAATGCGACATCAACTTTGGGTGTTTCAAGCTTGACATCTACATCAGGGGCTTTACCACCTGTCCTTGAAAAGGAAAATTTTGGAAATGTCCAATTTGGTCTTTTCATCTTGGTTTCAACCTCAACTGTTGGTGCATCTGGTGCTGAAATGACGGCTTCATGTTCTTTGACTTCAACACTGGGCAGTTTGACCTCAGCTTTCGCTTCTGGTAATGTGACATCTATATCTTTCTTTGATAAACTTAAGTCAATTTCAGGTCCTTTTACTTTTGGCATTGAGATTCCAAACTTCGGCATTTTAAACTTGCTTCCTGACACTTGAAGTTCACTTTCTTTAGATTTCATATCTACAGATAGGCCTTCAGTGTCAATTCTGGGTGCAGTGATATCCACTGTAGCTCCTTCAATTTTAATGTCTTTGTCCACATCAGGTACTTCCACACTGACCTTTGGAGTAGCAGCTCCAAATTTGGGTAATGTGAATGTTGGCATTTTTAGTTTTGATGGTGATCCTTCAACATTACTCGTTTGAGCTTCAATCTCAGGAGCTTTGATTTCCACTTGGGCAGAAGATTCTTTAAGTTTAACATCAGGGAGTTTGACTTCAGCTTTGGCTTCTGGTAGAGT